GTACTATAAGCGAAATACCTATATAATGTACGTGTTGTACAGAATGTCGAAATGTTGCCCAGCGGGCGGCCAAAATAACCGCATGCACAAACGACCTAGAACTGTTGTTATATTGTTGCTATTAATTTATACAATCTCATTTTGAAATCTTTTCGAACGCGCACTTGTCTATATGCAATGACGGGGAAAGTTTTCGAATACCTACGGGCGGGCTTACGACTTTTTACCGTAAGTTCACGGATTGTAACGTGTGAAATGTGCACACGTGTTCCGGTTTTTCTGCTATTCCTTTAAAAGTTTCGCAATTATACGCTATTACGTTTCAGTAAATTTAAATAATGTGATGTTTTCCCGTATTTATACCATTTGAAAATACGCTATTGCCAAACGCATCTGTTTACTGGTGTACGATTTTTTACAGCAGGATCGATGTGTCATAACATGTGGTCTTTGATCGCCCAAAAGTACATAAGCGTTCATCATTCCGTGGTATTATTATTTTTATCATCGAGTGTAAGTGTACGTTGTGTACTCTATCTGAACAAGTTGTATACGTTTCGTGTTCGCTTTTTTCTTTTACAATGAAAATTATTTTTCCAACTCGTCCTACGTAACGTTGTTCAAGCATTTTACTATTATTTTTTGCGTTTGACCGCTCATATGTGTCCGAATTACGGTATTAGGTATCAGTACGCGTGTACACACTTGCACGTATGGGGAGGGCAACCTTGTCGTTTCGTAATCACAACGCGGTTTGGCCACCGTCTTTAAAGACTGCGACAACCCGCGGACAAGGCGGCAAATATACATTTATCCGCGGTGTCACACTGTATAACGTGTGTGTGTGTGTCGTCGTACAAACAGATACGCGTGTCTCTTGGGCGTGTGCATAGACGTTAACGTACACGTATTATGTTATTATGTATGGTATTCTTTACTCTTTGGCTACTTTGTGTGCAACGAAATAGTGCGCAAGGTGCACACGCGGATACTTATTGTAATATCGTCGGGATTATGTATAAATTATATGTGTATTACACTTGTTATGTATAGCTGCAATTATTGTAGATGACTTGATAGTTGAACGCACCACTGAAGTGTAGTGTTAATCGCCTTCACCTAAATATGTATGATGTGGAAACACAACGTTTAGAAAACTATCGAAGCTAATTTCTACAGCTCGACAAACCTGCGAGCTTCGTGGCATAACGTGCCTATACCTTTCCTATTGCTGTTTATAATATAACACCCAATTTAATGCAGTTAGGCGATAACAAGGTAATGACGATATACCGCTGTACGTGCCTAAAAAAAAAAAAAAATTACTAAATGTATAGGTCATTAATCATTAATGGAAAAGGGTTTCAATCTTGCTTTTTTACCTCCTATTCAAGTAGTCGCATGTCACCATTCCTTGCGTAGTTACCACCAAATTCTAATATGGATTAAAAATAAAAAAATCCCCTAGATTGGGGTTGGAAGAATTTAAAAATCAGTCTTCTTCCAATCACCATGAATAAAGATCTGGTTACTAAATCTGTCTTAAATACAGTTTTGTGTAAATTTCTAAAAGGATGCATTGCATCGTTTAATTGCCGAAAACTCGGAGGCGGGAGAAAATAAATATCTTTAATATCAGATGCTTAAGCAGTTGAAATTATTTTCAGATTTCCACTAGTTTATTCCAATTTCAGTCATATTTTAGTTAAATTTAACTGGTTAATTACGTATTACGTTCATTACATTTACAATCGAACGATTGACGTACTCGAAGACGCTTATAAATAAAAATATTAATCATCACTAATCTGTAGTGTTTAAAAGTTTTTACCTTTAATCGAGTCGTTCAAACGTTGTAAAAATGCAATGTATGATTTAAAAAGTGTGACTAATTTAGACAATATTCTTCTCGGTGCAAGTAGACAATAGAATTAAACTCGTATTATTGGAAGAGGGGAAATATAAGGTTATCGACTCCTTATTAATATCGACGACAAGTCATCGACTGCAAATGTTAATGTTGGTGACAACATGATAATAATACACTGACGATAACGTACGGCATGCATGTAGCATATGGTATAATGAGTTTATAATTTTTTTTAAATGTTTTTTCTATCTGAAAACATCACGTGCCCAAACTTTTAGGTTGCTTGCGTTTTTGTGCAGTATTACACTTGTCCGGCGGCTAATTTATAATTTCAGGTGGAGGGGATAACCGTTGAAAACTTATTCAACGGTCTAGTTTCGACCTCAGTGTACCGTCTCAAATATCCTAGGTGTACTATTTCCGTTCATATTTTCAAAAATACACGTGGAATAAGTTATTGTTAAAAGTTTTCCGTGTATACAAAAAATAATTTCTTTGTATGGAATGAGTTGTTGCGTTATCGAACCCGTGGTTTCTAACTCCGTCGCTTTAAAAAATAATCAGTTAGCGCTTAAAACAAAAGCGTATCTATACAGAATGTGCTCTATCAACAAACTAATGAATAAATATCGTATTTTTATGTGTCGGACGATTAATAAATGATACTATCGTGCGGAGAAAAAGCACCGCTTTGCCGATTCAAACATTCATTTGAAATATAGGTTAGCGCGTTCAAAAAATTTAATTCGAAATACTCTCGCATTGTTGGTAGTCTGCCCGTCGGTCGTAATCTGCGGCCATTATGCAATATACGTTTAACAAATACGGTCAGCCAACGATGGATGGACGATGCGGAACGGCGGCGGACACACGCAAAGGCCGCACGTATACAAGACGTTGCTGGATTTAGCTCATCGTTTTTCCTCTTTGAACGGCCAAATGTACCGTGCATGATTTAGAAGGGACGAAGAGAAGAAGACCGTTGGGTCTTACATGCTAATGGTGTATTATTGTATTGCCTGCTGCTCTACGCGGCAGCGGTCCACATATTCTAAACGGTCCATTCAAAAGGCTTTTATACGTAACGTGCAATCTACCGTCATGATATTATAATATAAATCGCGCACACGATGAATTTTGTATGGGAAAACGATATAATAACAGCCAACAATATACACACCATGCTACTATGTACTATGTATACCAACAATGCGAGCAGGTCTGCGTGATAACACTGCGTTGCGGTGCGGTATACATCATAATGATATTACACCGTAAAATCATACTTATATATTATGACATGTACATGTACGTATATTTATTCGTGTACGAGTGAAATTTAAATTAATTTTCATCTCGGTGTTATTCTACGTTATTAAAAATGTTATGCTACGCGATAAATCCCTCGTCGTTGGACACCCGTTGATGAATTTAATGATTTAATTTGATAATTAGTGAAAAAAAAAAATTAGAAATAAAAATTTTGAATTAACTCTTGTGTTGGAATCAATTTGACGTCTTTCTGAATGTACATATACATAGAGTTTTCTTGGTTTTAGCATTGTATGCCAAGTGTCGAACAAATAGCTTTTTATGCACACAATTTAATAGGCAGAGAAAAATATATATGTGACATAATGAATTTATGTTCGATTTGTATTCACATTTACTCTTGTCGTCTAATCCTCCAATCGGTCTGTTTGTCCTGCAGTATATAATATTGCACTTCATGTATATATATATATATATATTTATTTGCGATGCCTGCAATCGTTAATTGAATATTTTTTTTATTTTTTTCCCCCTTCATCTCATTTCATTGACGGATTTAATTGGAATTGATGCATTTTTAATTATGCGTGTAAAATATTTACTGATTGTTTCGTAAACTGCAAATAATACCGTACGGCTAGAATATTTAATGAGTCTATTGTATTGATTAATTATTTATGCGACTATGGTACATTTCAAATTCGCATTGCCTTCATCAGAAAAATTGATTTTTCTCATTATATTATTATTAAACACCTAATCGTGTAGAACTATCAGTACAACTATCAGTACACGCATTGCGTTTCGTATGTACAGAGTGCGCAGTCAATGGTACAAGAAAACTTGGTGTAAATAAAGTTTCCCGGTGAAACAATAAACATGTCAAATAATTGACTAAGCGTTCGGAAACTTTCTCTGCTTGTATCAGTGGTTTCCAATTACTAGATGTCAATTAATTTATTTCTCCGGAAACGTATACCAGTACACGATCCGTGTACAGTTGTACCTGCCTCTCGTGCAGACTTCGTCGGGGTGCGATTTTTTACCTCAGTCAACGACTTACCATAGAATTTATAAACATTATTTATATTCTCTGTCAAAATATTTTTGTTTTATTATCATTGTTTTCGTTGTCTCGGTGCTTTATAACGTAACTACGTGTGTTTTTGTCGTTTTTGAGTTGATCCTCCAGTCTTGAGGTTTTTGTTTTCTCAAAATGCTTTTTACAAACATGCGCATGAACATGTTTAAACACAATACAACGCATTTTACAGTTAAACAACTAACACTGCGTATTATTTACTCACCTATAAACAAGAAATGTTTTCTAGAACATCGTTCGACTAAACCGAACACGGTTCCTCTGTACTATTATTTCTGTGCCAAACTATATATATAAATTTCCACCAAATCCCTAAGATTTAAAACATCTTTCTATGTTTTCTTTTCTTTGTACCACAACACTTATATTTATCACGAACAAATTGTGAAATGTACTGTTTATTACGTACGATGTGCCAGTGCACATAAAAAAGGTGCGTTTTAATAATGTATAAATTTATAGATTCTTTTTTTTTTTGTAATATTTCGTTTAAAAACATGTTTCATACATGCACAACATACACATTATAAAAAAAAATAAAAACAAATATGTAACTTTAAAACGTTAGGTTTAAACTGTTTCGACAAATCAATGTCATACCAGTTTTAATACAATAATTTGAATTCATTATCGTATGTCTAATCGTTGTAATAGAAATTACACCGCTATTTGTTAAATCTATCTAAAATTCTGTTTTCCATCTAAAATATTTATTTTAATTGTATAACTTATCAAAAACATTATTTTTTGTTTCAGGTTTCATCAACTCGAACACTTTACATTCTTTAGCTCACCTACACGGTAAGTGACATTTGATAAAATGTTTTTGTAGCTTCTTTTTTTTAACCAACATTTGTATCATTGATTGTAACTAAACGTCCCAATTCGTCGGATAAACAATTTTTGAATGGTCTACCTTTATTCACGGTTTATTGTTAATGCCAGTTGAATGCGGGTGTATATTATAAACGCCGATTCAGCCGTAAATAGATTTTCCAGTAGTCAATCATGTTTTTTTTTCTTTTCGATTGACAAGGTCCCAATTATATCGTACTAACGATATAAAATGAACTTCTTAGCAGTCAGTCAAATATAATTATAATTGACGCTTATTGTCTCTTGAAACAATCCCTGTGTTAGTAAAACAAATTTATTCTGCTGCGCTTGCTCCTCGATGTACCGTTTATACATATTATATTTGTTTGTCGTTGTGTATAACATGAATCATGGCTGAGATTCGTTTTACACATTTTACTCCCGCATTTTGTCTACACCCGTCAATTAACGATTTTATATATCTTGTATTTTTGTTATTACATTTCGAAGGCCACGTCGATTGTGATTAAGTATTAATAAACTATTTTTGACTGATATGTCTTCCCGTGTAATTAAATTTTTTTTCGGTTTGATGATTATTTAAAATTAATTTTATTAATTTACAAATATTTTGATGAAATGCTAACTCGTGAGAGGGATTTAATATAATAAAATTAGAAACATATTGGTGCGCCCATGTTATTAAGTATCATATTTGTTTTTAATTAATTTCATCATACGTCATGTATTTAAATTATTTATTAAACAGGTATCTTATGTTGTGTTGGTTAACCGTTTTTACAGCTGATATAGTTATACGTTCGACATATCTATTATGCATGACCACTGAGTATGTACATAATAATTATTTATAAAACTACCCATGTTAGTTATACTTTAAAACGTATAAAATCGCTTTAGTAGTATTGGAAAGAATGGTATTTGGAAAAAATTCACTTTTAAATTATAATCTTTATTCGATGAATATATAATTTGTTAATGCCATATGCGTAGTGTAATATAACTGTTACCTCAATGAATGTTCGACAATTTTAACCTTTATAATTATTTCTTTAGTCGCATTTATTATCCAATAGATTTAATTCGTTTAAAATGCATATTTTTTCTATATTATAAAAAGATATAGACATATTATATACCTATATTAGTTATGCAATTAAGGTCAGAATTCATGACTGTTGTCATTCAAGTTAAGTGCCTAAAAATCAACTAAAAAAATTGCTTGAAGTCGGAACATCCATAGACACGCAAGCAGTTCAAAGAAAAATAAAACATAGTTGTTTTATATGCCATTTATTATTTTTACATAAGAGTATTTTTTTATTTTTTTTTGTCTCCTCTACAACGATTATGATTATCAGCTTACGTTCAGGAATCTTTTATCCATTGCGAAACGTATTATACAGAATTGTCGGACACCACTCCTACACCTATTATAAATACCTTATGCATACTTTTGTGAAAAAACTTTAAAAAAAAAAAAAGGTTTACATTATTTTAAAAATGATTTGAAAATATAATGATTCAGTAATGATGTTTACAATTTCCAGTTATTAATATTTCTTGTTGTTAAATTCAATGATGTTTGAAATTTAATTACTTAGAATCATTCACAACGCTAAATTCATCGTAATAATAATTAAAAGTAATTATTATTTGTATTTGTGAAATTCGTTACAGTATATTGATTTGCCCCAGTGTATTAATTATGAACTACTTATTTTAAGTATTATTTTTTGTTTTTAGGTTAGCTTTTAATACATTTCAAATCACTTTTTGATAATTTAGTAATAATTGTGAACATGATTTATTTCATTAATTATAACTTCAAAAATATTTTATATTAAAAATGTTGAATAAGACTCGTGTTAATCAATGTTAGTCTTTGTTTTTCTAATTATGATCCTTAAAAACTGATGGATTCCCTTCAATTTCGTTTCCAAATTAAAAATTTTACCTCTTTTTTCATTAATAACAATGTGAAGTGTTATTTTCAATATATTTTGAAAATGAAACAGTATAGATGGATTGTTTTTATACAATTTTAGAAAAATAATTTGATAATATTTTCGATAACATTGTTTACCTGTATTAACGATAAATATAATATTGTGAAATTATATAAAAGTCATTGCTAAACAAAAATTTACTAAATTTTATCGAAGTGAATTCGTATCGTCTAACTATTATATAATATTACTGTTAACTATAACTGTGTTCCGTGGAAAACTTAGATTATACCTATATGTGTGTAGACATTGATTTTAATAATAATATTTTAACTAAAGTCATTATTAAGGATCATTTAGATTTTAGTATCTATAAGGATTATTTTATCACGTTATGGGGTTGTATCGTTTGATACTCGGTATTTTTATCAGTATTATCTGTACAGTGACAATATTGTGATATATTATCCAAGTTTATACATATACTCGTATATTATATCGTACGTATAAATAAACTGTAGTTTACTTCAAAATTAATTATTTTGAATATATTATCTTTTTAGTATTTATTTTTGTAATCTTTAGAAACACCAACTCGTCGTAAATTTCTACAAAATATTTCAAATACTCAAACTCCTCGAATATTTAATAATTTCTAAAAATCAAATTATATTAAATTTATTTTTAATATTCAATCTACGATAGATCCTCAGCATGTCGCTGACATATTACTATACGTAAAGGAATAATACTAAAGTATTTCTGCACCAAGTCAACTGACTGGAATCTTTGCGTATAGGTTTTTCTGCTATACTATATATATTATAAAACGTTATTTTTATTTTGTTTTCTCGTGTATTAATTTCTTTGACTACGAGGGATTCTATTACAAAACAATATTTATTGTTAACTCGTCCAAATCGATCACGTGATCAGGAACGCTATCGAAAAAAAACCGTATTTTCATCAATAGCTGGGGGGAGGAAGTGAAATTAAAACAACAGCAAAAAATACTTTTTTTAACGTTTATTTAGAGTCCCGGGAATATATTGCAGCGCACACACGTAAATACGCATTAACCGCGACTGAAACGAAATGGTTGTTGCAAAATTTAAATCCTGATTCGACGCTTGAATTCGTAAGAAACTATAAATCATTATGCCCACGTTTCTCGTTGTACTCTGCTGCAATATCGTCCATCGCATATTTCGATCAAACTATTTATTTGTTCAAAACCTACGTTTTGCTCTTCTCTTAAATCCGTCCACACCGCGGGCACGTGCCCCGATTGCGATACACATACTAGAATCGAAAGAAATTTTCGCATTAGTACCGAGGGGTATATCCACGATTGTTTAACCTACGGTGATAGATTCTTTCTCGACGTTTCCACGTATTACGCGTATACGACCGCAACATTGTAATTCAATTTCTTTTTTAACCCACTGTAACATGTAACATCCCCGACATTCATCGTCGATACCGACAAAATACTTTTCTTTGAACTGCATATATAATGTGTGTGTGTGTGTGTGTGTGTGTGTGTGTGTGTGTGTGTGTGTGTATTCCACTCAGCAACAAAAAATAAAAGAAGAATAAATCTGAAAATTTTGCCGTTTTGCATTATTCATTTTATTTTTTCCTCGTCGTCGGGTGCAGCTTACCCTCCTTTCATTTCCCCGAAAGTCCCTCGCGCAATCCTCTCCACCGACGGATCCGCGAGTATACTCTTCGATTTTCAAAAGAACCCTGCCTCGTGCTGCCGAATTCAGTTGCCGTTGCAACCGCTGTATGGCCACCCCGTTTTAAATATTCCAAATTTACTTCGTTAAAAATATGCGATTATTATTAAGCGTAGACTTGTTTCAGTTGAAAGTCGTTGACGACGAAAACGCAGTAGTCCTCTCGTCCTCTCCCCCTGAACTACTTTTTATTTTATAACGATTGCCGTTTCGCCGCCGCTGTTTAGTTACGGTCAAAGTGGTTAATCAAGCGTCAAGAATAAATTGATTATACTAGGCTTTTAACATGCTTAAATGTTGTTTGAATAAATATTTATAGCTGTATTTGGTTATATTTGTATTGCTGCACGTCGCTGAATGTGATAAATGTGAAATCAACATTGCGTTGTTCTGATGGCTACAGTGGTGACAACGACAATGACATTATATTATTGTAATATATTATATATATATGTGTGTGTGTGTGTGTGTGTGTGTGTGTGTACAATTATGCAAGTGTACATGACAGTATCCGATGTATTCGATATAATTTAAATCCAATCGGAAATCCTGTAGCATATCCTACTACATTATTATCTTACACATGACGACGTTATCCAAGACCTCGTTTAACTTCTGCCGTTATCGTCGTGAAGTAGCAAGTAGCTTTTTTCCCCTTTATATACAATAATTTACTTTGATAAACATTGTGTTTTATAATGACATCCGAAATATTCATATATTATCGCAGAAAACCAAAATGCTACTTATCCCACTTATTTTTAATTTCCGTTTGTCACGTTGAACTCTTTCTAAAAATGTCCAGTGAAAAATGTGCTTCACAAGAAATTTCAATTAGCACAAAGTACGTTTTTTATTTTGCATTAGGGATTCGCTGTTTTAAAAAGTGAAAAATCATTTTGTGGAAACCTTTTTTAGGTTACGATTTTTCAAAGAAAACGTGTTAATAATACAAGATGATTAATTAACTTCGTAAAGATATTATTTGGTTTCATTCTAGGCGTGACATGAATTTGTAAGTTTTAATTAAATTGTTTAATAATCACACTTTATAATACATTACCTTATTAAAAATACATGTACGTTGTAGTATATTTTACACATACTACAGTACTTATGTTCACTTTTATAAACTACTTTATTTAAACACTTGTATAGTGTGCGTGTGTGTGTATGTGTATACTAATGTATATTACACATTTCATTTTTGGTCAGTAAAATTGGAAAACGAGTACAAAAATAATTATCTTTTTCGTTTCCCATTATGTATTTT